GGGGGGGGGGGGAATAAATTGGTTGGTTAAAAATGTCTTGCACAGATTTCTTGGTTTTGAAAAACTTTTCTAAATCTTTCCAAAGAAGTATATTAATCTCTAATTGTATATAGAATACTAAGTTCAAATTCAATGCAAGTCTAAATTCACTCCATGAATATGATGATCAATTTAATTCTTGAAATTTTTATTGAAGTTACTACAAAGGTTACAAAACCTCTTCTTACAAAAAAAAAATGTTTCTCAAAAAGTATTTTCGAAAAAGATATCACAAATACTTTAGTCTCTCTATTCTAAGTGTGAAAAATGATATACATATATATATATAGATATACATATATATATATATATGTATTTATGCATGTATGTATAAGTTTTCTAAGAAAAATAATTGATTATTTACATAGATAGTCGATTATTTTATTCTTAGCAGATCTAGAAATCAACCAAGAATAGTTTGATTGATTATTTTGAGAAATAATTGATTATTTCAAAAACTAATTTCTGAAATAATAAATTATTTTGTTGAATAATTGATTATTACAACAACTATTCCTTAAATTACTAAAAAAATTGTACAAATAATTGATTATTACTTAAGATGATTGATTATTTTAAGTGAAAACTTAATATCTTAATTTTTCATAGAATTTCTATTTACAAATCAATTTTGAAACTTATTTTCATAATCAATCATCATCTTATAGAGATTTAAGACTAAGTTACTTACCAAGCACAAAACACACAAGGAACAAAGCTCTAAACACACAAACAAGATACAACTTGCATTTTTTCTTTTAAGAGGCTCATATCTTCCACAACTAAGATCATATCTTCATCTTGAGTTTGATCAACAATTACACCTTCCACAACTAAGACCATCAGCACTAAGGATGTCAACAAAATCCATACGTGCAAATATTTGTGGATAAAATCTGCTATAGAAAATGGATATCTATGAGTAACAAGTACAAGTATTTTTTATACACGCATGTTAATGGGGCGAGAACGAGTATCATTGTATTCGTAAAAATTCAATTAAATAATTACCTATTAATTTTTTTAAAAATTTATGAGAATAAATTACTATAAGAATTAAATCTAGTTTTTAAATTGTAGGATATTGATTAATAAAATTATGTATAATATTTGAACAATATAAGTTTTGACTTTTAAACTATTATTTTTAAAGAAATTATTAGAATAAATAAAAGTTATTATTAAAATAATTTTTAAAATTTATTTATTTTTAAAAATAAATATCAACAGATATCCATGAATACTCCTAAATATTTTAAAAATATGTGAGTACCCAATTAACAAATACTTGCGCAGATATGAGGATGGGTACGAGACAAATATTTTTTTAGCTAGGTGAGAAACGGGGGGCTACTACCTATACTCGTCCCACCCCATTGACATCCCTAATCACCACCACCCATCATCGCAACTATCACGACCATTACCACCACTATTGTTGTTACCATCATTACTACCATTGTCACTAGTGGTGTGACGATGGTGGTGGTGACAATGTCACCACTACCATCACCATTGTCATTGTTGTCACAATTATTGTCGTTATCGCATGCGACAACAACAATAATGGTGCGGCAACATTGATAGTGGTAGTAACAACAATTGTGGTGGTTATAGTGGGGGTGTTATCAGTGATGTCACTAATTTCATTACTGTTGTCTTTGTTGCTACTGTCATCGTTGCCATGACGACAATGGTTACAACAATGGTGGCGGTGGTAGTTGAGGTGGTGATACTAGTAGTTATGGAAGGGATAATAGTAATAATCTTGTAAGAAAGTGTGTATAATTGAGTTTTAATCTTAACCATTATTTTTTTTTATCTTTTATCTAAAGGATATGATTCACTCCTCTAATCTCTCATATTAAGACATGTTCTCATTGGATATGTTCCACACACACACACATATAGAGAGGAGGGATTCACTTACTCCAAAAGTAGGACTAATTAGACTTACTCCACACAATAACTCACATTCTATATTAAATTTCAATGATCTGATTGTTAAATTAAAAGTTTTTAATGCATAGATCAAGTCTACAAAATGTCTGGTGTAAATAAACCTATGTTTGCCTTCATCAAAGAAAAAAAACCACTGACTTGATCATGCCTAGTGCCTCTCAACCTGGGCCCGACATCATCAAGTCAAAGAGCACCTCGAGCAATCAAACCTAATGCCTCCCATTCCATACCCAACATGACCAAGTTAAAGAACTCGTCAATGACTCACGTTCGACATTACCAATCTTGTGCCCAACATTGTCAAGGCAAAAAACCTTTAACTTGAGCCCTCGACGTGATCAAGTTAGAGAACTTCTCAATGACCTAAGTCCAATGCTATCAATCTAGCGCCCAACATTATGAAGGCAAAAAGCCTTTAGCTCGCCCACACCTAGAATCAAACCACTTGTGCTCAACATGGATGAGGACAGAGAGCCCTTGTGTTAATCATGCCCAACGTAGACAAACCTATGCTTAGCTTCATCTAGGTAGAAAGCCATTGACTTGGTCATGCCTAGTGCCTCTCAACTTAGCCCCAACATCATCAAGTCAGAGAGCTCCTTTAGCAATCAAACCTGATACCTCTCATTCCATGCCTGGCGTGACCAAGTTAGAGAATTCCTCAATGATCCACGTCTGACATTACCAGTCTCGTGCCCAACATTGTCAAGGTAGAAAACCCTTGACTTGAGTTATGTCCAGCACAATGAAGATTTTTGCAC